AAGCCATCAATGTCCAGTCTAGCCCATCCAAGATTAGGCAAATTCCATCTAGTTTCGTGTTGGTGTCGATTATGTTCAAATGGTCAAGTTTGGATTAAAGCTTCAAATCATTTATATTTGTTGAGCGCTAGAGGCAATGTTGTTGTCCAAGTTAATATCTTCATAATAGAGTTTTTTGCATTTGGCTTTTCATATGATCTAGCAACCATGGGCAAAAAATTTTTGCTAGGACAATCTTCTTGTAGACAATCTTCCAACTTCATTTTTTTTTTGCATTTCAAATTATCAAATCTTGTACAAAGAGAGAAAAGGAATTAAACTTGGTAGGGTTGACTAATTTCTCCCAAACCTCCTTGGGTAGTTGCATTGATTGGGTAGTTGCAATGTTTTGCTAGAGGTCACTTGTAATTTGTAGGCTAACAACGTAATTAGCCTACTGTCAATTTTATATGGGCCTACAGGGTTGCACATAAGAATAGTCCAACTCAAACTATAATGTCCGAACTCATCGAATCTAGAATATGTCTAGATTCAATAATGTAATATTGGTTGAATGAATTATATATATATATATATATATATTTGAATATTTATTTGATAAATATATATATTTATATGAAATACAAAATTCAAAATATAATTTTATATATATATATATATATTCGAAATATATATATCCATATATGTGTATATATATATATGATATATAAAATTAAATATAGGTAATATAATATATAAATATATATGTGTGTGTGTATATATATATTCATGTATATATATAATATAATATGTATATGTGATATATATTTTATTTTATTTTATTTTATTGTATATTATATTATGTTAGTTTTAAATTTAATTTTATATGATATATTAAATTTAATAACTAATATGATATGAGAGAATATCATGCTAGTTTTATAATTTGAATTTATAAGATAAATTCGAATTAGATATGATATTATGGATTAAATTTATGAGATAAATTTAATTAAATTTTTGTGGGCTTTTAAGTGGAAGATAAAAATCTTTATCTATATACTACATATAGATAGGGACATCCTTTATAAAATAAGAGAGAGTTAGAAAAGTTCTGATGGCAAAAACACTTTGAGAGTCACAAAACACCTTATAGAAAGAAAATTAGTGTTCATAGAAGAACGAACACTAGGAGCGTTAGCACGTTGTTCGAGTTAGAGAGCTATTCGTGTAGATACTGGTAGAGGGAGTATATCTACATTGTCAGCTCTTGAGATCCAAACTCTTGAAGAGAATGTGTGCCAAGTTTGAAGAATTAAAAGGTAACTCTTCTATCCACCTTGACTTAAATGAGTTCGTTCGGTCCATACCAAAATAGGGACTTTAAAAATTTTAATCTTCTGCTGCGCCTCCCTATCCAACAAGTCAAACTTGTGAATCTCTACAATTTGGCACTTTGAAATTAGTTGGGATCTAATTTAAATTAATTGATCCCTTTGGGACCTATCTATCATTCTTCCAATGATTAACTTTCCAAAAAAATAAATTACAACATATGTTTTAATTTAAGGATTGACATAAATCTAAATTAGTGGATAATATTGTATAGTTATAGATCTACAATAAACTCAAGGGCAAATTGTCCTGCTCATTTTCAAAGAATTACATATACAAATATAACTATAAATGTATGTATGTTACGCTTTATTATTATCACACATTTTTTTATTTTTTGAACCCACAGAAATTTGTCCAGATTAATGGCCTGAACCAATTACTTCCTCGTTTATATTTACTTGTCTTTATGGAATGAAACACAGAGATTAAGGAAGATAGAAAATTTATGCAAAATGTAAGACTTATTTTTTATTTTCGACTTTTATCCTCCATTTTATTTTTTGGTTACCCATAAGTATACTATTCAAGATATTGTTGGGTATTAAACGTGGGTACCTCTCATAATGAGAATTCAAATCTTGATACATCATATTGTGAGGGATTAACCCATTTTGCTAAACCTAGCACCTCCATTTAATACCACAACATTTAATATCATGAGTTAATTAAAAGATAGGCTAGAAAATTTTATATTCGTAGAATGGTATTATTAGAAAAAAAGTCATAATTGTACTTTAAAAATTTGAAGCAAGGCAAATATATAAAAATAAGGATAATGAAACTTTTACTCCTTTAAATTTGTTTTAGTTATGAATTTGATCCCTTAAGTTTAATTTTTATTAATTTGATCTTTTACATTCGCCTCACTAGTTGATTTGGTCTTTATTGTTTAAAGAAAAGATAACATGGTTAAAATTTATTAACATAGATAAAAGATTATTGATGGTAGCAATGTAAATTGACAAAAAGCAGTGTAATTATTTGGACAGGAAAAAACAGACTTGAAAATTTTTAAAAACAAAAGAACAAAATGCAATATAAGGATTAGATTGATAAAAATTAAATTCATTTGAAGGTTAATTTATTCTGATTTAACTATATATACATTCCAAGCCATTAACATACATTACGCATTGAATTAATTTAATAGTTAATTTATGTTTTAAAACTATAAGGAAAAATATAATAATTTAAGAAAATTTAAAAAACCAAATTAGTAATTAAAACAAACTTCAAGGACTGAAAGTTCAAGGACTGAAAGTTACGTTATCTTAAAAGAATAAATAAAAACACAAATCAGGGACAGAAATAGTAGTAATTTTTATGGGAATAGAATTAGAAACCGCATGTCATCCCACCGGCTATCCAGCAACTCATCTCATTGTGTCAGACCTCCCAATACAAATCACGAAAAAAAAAAAAGAATTAATGAAGAGCCAAAATCTTATAACACAATTTCAATTTGAAAAAAAAAAACAAGAGTGTTATTTTTAAGGTCATGTTTATATATATATTATATATATAAAGGTCGAGATTTTTTAGTCCATTTCTTTCCTCTGTTTGGATTTGATTACTGGCTCATTACTAGTTTTCTGGTTGAATCAAATGAGCATAGCTGACCGATTATTGGAAACTACTCTCTCCATTTTTATATATTAAAAAAAATCATATCACTCAGTTTAAAAATTAAAAAAATAAGTTAATAAGTTAACTCTAATAATTATACTAAAAAAAAAACTGAACTAACATACCTTAGTCGATCAAAATAAGGATGTATTTATTATTTGTCTCATGAATGAAAATGATAGATTTTATGGGAGTAATTTAAAAAATTATAATAAATGTTTATTAGGATATGTGATTTTATTTATGAAAACAAAACAACAAGTGATTATTTCTCCTATATTAGGAAGGAGTGTGCATCTTGGAGAGGATGTTTTATTTAATTAAAATTTGAATTTCATTGGAGCCTGCGCATCGTGGATGTTTAATTATTTTTTTAAATTTTTATTTTTATATCTCAACTAAAAAAACCTAAAAGAAAACCTTTCCTATCATAATAAAGAAGCACAAGTTGTGGCAGAAAAAAAAAACTAATAACATCATAAAAATTATATCAAAATTTGATTTCATATCAATCCCTAGTATATTTATTAAAAAAAAAAATCAGCATATCTGATTCCAAATTATTAGCCATTAGCTAATATTTTATTATTTATATGCCAACTCTGAAAACCATTTCCTATGAAAGTAAAGGGTTGTACTGATATTGATGATATTTTGATTATATTTTCTTTCCAAATTATTTTGATCTTTATATTGGTTTCGTGGCCATGTATTGATCCTCTCATATTGCTCATTATATTTAAGCATTCATCTGTAGAAGTTAGGAATAAAGATCGGGTCTGTAGATCCTGTTTAAATAAGAATTTAGGCTTGAAAAATTGGAAGTTTTTTAAGGTAATCAGGCTTTTAAACCCGGTCCTAATAAGTTTTGAAAAAATGAGCTCGAGCTTAGGCAGCCCTCTAAGTCCTATTATCTTTTTTTGTTTTTTGTTTTTTTTTTTTCAATCTATGTAAAAACAATGCTTTGAGGAAAAACCTAAGGCTTAAACTTTTCTAATTTCTAATTTCTTGACTCTCACTCTCTCAACCTAAAGATTGAAGATTTTACAATCACTCATCTACTCTTTTATTGGCCATCGCTTATCTCTGCCTCACTTGGTATCTTTGCTCTTCCGTTAGTTGTAAGTGATCTCTGCCTCATCTTTGATATCTACCTCACTCAGAGTCACTTGGCTCTCCCTCTCACATCCACTTGCCTCATCGCCCCTCACATCTATCTCATTTGCTCTCACTCACACCTCTCACAATTTGCTTTCCACTTGCAATTGCTGTCTTGCCGTGCATGCTAGGTGGCTGATACTGATATTTGATTGTCTTTGATGGGTGCTCTAATTCTCACCAAATTTAATCAAAGTAATTAATTTTTTTGGCCAACTAGAGTAATTACTTTAATTTATTTTATGTTTAATTTTAAAATATTCTAATTAAATTATAATATTAATTTTTTAATTTTTTGTAACCGAGCTTATGAGCTCGAACCTAAGCCCTTTACATAAAGGCTGAGCCTAAGAATTTTGGGAAACCAAAAAGAACTCAAGCTCATAAGAGTTGAGTCAATCCATTTTCCAACTCTAATCATCCATCACTTTTTTAAAAAGAAAAATTTATACTAAATTTTATGCAGTTAAAGAATTTATTTTCATATATACTAAAACATGCAAATCTTTAGTATATTATTTATTCTATAATAAACTCTTATTATTATTATTAACGCATTAAAATTTATTTCTCTTGATTTGATTAAATAAAAATATATTAATTAAAAAAACTCAATACTTATGGAAAAATTCTGCACGGACTACCTTATCCAATAAAAATTTGCAATACCACATCAATTCAATTAAATAAAATTTCATCATTGTTTTTAATAATTTTATTTTTGAAATAAAATACTTTTTTACTTTCATTTTTTTTCCCTCTATCATCATCAATACTCAAATCAATTTATATTAACATTTATTTGACATGGCATATTTTTGCAGAATAGAACATGAATGTAGCGTACCAAATCATTACAAGAATTTCTCGTACCTATGTCTTCCTCTTTATTTAAAGCTCCTGCTTATACACATCAGTGAAAAAACTTGTTCCTAAATCCAGTTGATGTTAAAAGTGGGGGGAAAAATACATGATTTGATCTCGATTAAATTAAGGGAAAAGGGAGCAAAGTGCTAGGATACCCAGTAAAATTACAATCAAAGGCCACGTCCTTCTGATAATATAGAGCATATTCATATGTCTAAATCATCATCTGGGTCTTCATCAGAATCTGGCATCTCATCATCTGAATCACGATAATAAATAATCTCACCCATGCCAGAACACCCTTTTTTGCCACTTGAAGTGTCCTTTGCCTCAATGTTGTAATCTTCAAGCGATCTTCTACCATCATATATTTGTATTGGTCTGCCATTTCCTGAGAACAAAAAGATCAAGTTTTAAGACATACTCGTTGGCCCACGAATAAAAAGTTTTTAAGACATATCCATCATTGGAAAACTGTCAGAAAAGAGAAAAACAATCACTTTTTGGAAAAACAAGGGCTATTAGATTAAAAAACTTTGTTTTGAAAAACAAAAGAAATTAAAAAACTTGTTTGAAAATGTATTTCAGTAATCTGTTCTCTGAAAAAAAAAAAAAGAAGTTACCAGTTGTCTTGAAAAAACAGAATATCTAATAGATGTTTTGTTACTTGTTATTCTGCAAAACGAAAGGAAAGGTAGAAAATATCATATTTTCATTAACAACAGTTATGCTAATAAAATAAATTATTCCTTCACTCTTTATTTCATCAATTTAAATGTTTTTCAAAATAAAGATTCAAAAAGATTTGTTTTATTTTTTGTTTCCAAAATGCGTTCTAAGAAATTACTCAACAAAATTGTTTCAAGAACATAGAAACAAAAAACAGAATCAAACTCTTACAGATCTAAATTATGTACCTTGGTGTTCAAAAGGGAGCACCACATTGGCCCTATCAGTTCGCTCCTTCTCTGACAGCTCAAGATTGAATTGTACCTGGTCAAGAAAAAACGTCAAATTTTTCATTGCCGGGGAAACAGCAATAAGTTCAAATTACCAATAGTTTCAAGTTTTCTCTTTGTTTATATGCATGTATCTGGGACTGTGTGCGTGAACTTGTACCTGCCATTAGAAGAGTACTCATTTGTGTAGGGAAGGAAACATACGAAGGCCGTCATTGGATATAATTTTTTTCTGTCATGATTCTCGTGCAGAATTAATTAATTGCATCCAACACGAGGAATCAAGAGTCAAATAGGCAAACGAAGGAAGTTTTGGGGATATATGCTTGGTACGTTTCTATTTCTAACATTTAGATCAGCACTGACACAGCTGAGAATGTTGCCGATGGGTGTGCATTTGTTAGTTTGACCAAGGCCTTTTCCATTCTCTTGAAAGGGGTTCATGAACCAGAAAATTGAAGCTGTCTTTTCTTTATTACTTTTTTGCAGAAAAAAATTAAGATTCTTTCTTCCATTACAAGGTTATTCAGATTTTCATTTTTACAGAGATAAAACCCACTTCACCATAGGAAACTATACAACTAACCTTTGGCAGCAGAGCTGAAATGGTCATTCTATCTACTGATGAAACAGAAGTAAAGCTAATTCCTTCTGGCTCAACTTTAAATTCCTCACACTAAGTACAAGGTCAGAGATATTATATCAGTCCACAAATGAAGATTGATAATTCCTAACAAAGTTAACAGAGGAAGAAAGAGATCACCATCACTCTAACTCGCCCATTTCTGCGCTTGAACCTGACATTGAACTTTCCCCTGGTAAAACTTTGTTCAGACAAGGAACTTTCTGAATTACCTCTCAGACCATTTAAAGAATGATGAAATGGTTCAACATTGGCCACCATGGAAGACATGTAATCAAGAACAGCTGCAACCCTATCATCATGAAGATCGGGATGCAATAACCCAAATATACATGAAATCTGATCTGCATCCATCATAAAAACAATGAACATGAGATACAAAGTTGTTCAGACATCGAGTCAATCATAAATGTAAATGAACAAAAACAATCACAAATTTTCTTGTTTAGGTACTCTCAAAATGGAAGGAGTCAAAGTGTCAATAATTCCCTTACAGAGGACCCAAATGTCATTTCCCCCAAAAGAGAATTTGCCAAACTTGATCACAAAAAACTATGAGAGATTTTCATCAAAGGATCACAGTAGTTATTTATTTACAAATTAGACCCAAAAAACTCTGAAATTACACAGCATGATTTTGGGACTGAAGTGAAATAAAATGCTGAAGCAAAATGACCAAAATGTCCTCCTTGAATGATTCAAAAGAATTATTAACTTGTGAAATCTCTAATATTACATGTTAACTCCCTCATGTTACTAGTTAAATTCATAACATTATTTGTATAATAATCTAACCTGTATTAAATCCATCCATCACGACTTATTAATTTCCTTATGTTACTTTGTTATGTCCACAATGCTACTAGAACATTATCTAACTAGTATTAAATTCATTTATCAAGACTTGTTAAATTATTAATCGTTATCATTACTTATTAATTATCATGTTATTTATTAAGTCATAACATTACTTATACAATATCTAACTTGTGTTAAATTCATCTATCATGACTGGTTAAATTATTAACTTGTAAAATCATTAACATTACTCGTAAATCTCTTTGCATTACTTGTTAGATTTTAAACATTAGGGCAATTTGGTCATTTCATACTGAAAGTTTATTTCAATTAGGTCCTCCAATCATGCAGTGAAATTTCAGAGTTTTTTGGGCCTGATTTGTAAATAAATAGCTACTTTGATCCTTAGATGAAATTCTCCCAAAAACTAAACAATATTATATGAGGAAATTAAAAAAATCTAAATTCAGTACAAGAATGAATACCATGGCTCCGCAGATTGCTCAAAAAACTTGAGACGGACTGTGAAGTTGTAAGTCTCAACAGCTCACTTAGCTGGAAATATGCAGAAGGAATCCATTAGGATTTAAGAGATACAAATACAGAATTTACAGGGAAACTAGGGACTTAAAATGATTTATAAATATGTCAAAATTATTTCTAATTTTCACACAAAATGAGAACACTTTTAAAAGTTATTGAACAAGACTTTTTATTTAACAATATTTCTAAAAACTTAATAAATGATAGAACACGATGATGTCATATAATCCATATAGCCGACCCCACCTAGTGGGATAAGACTTGTTGCTGTTGTTCTTCTTCCTGCTCAACTCTTCATTTATTTCTGAACTGTATACTCTAGATTGATATCCACGATACAAAAGATTTCAACTTTTATTGCAACATGATTTATACAAAACATTTACCTAATCAGCTTTACACTAGATTCCTACAAAACCTAACAAGTGACCATTTATGTAAAATAATAGGGGCTGTTAGTCCCTTAGGTTCCAAATGTACGAGCTATATAACTAATTCACACAGATGGAAGGAAAGAAAACTAGAGAAGAAAATAGGAAAGAAAATCACTTTTTTGGAAGAAAAGAAAAAGCAGGGAAGAAGGAAAAATAGGAGAGAAAATAAGTGGTGGGGCCCACTACTTTTTCTTCCCAAATTTTCTCTCAAGGTATGGAGAGATTTTGGGAAGAAAATGCATTTTCCAGCATTGCCCCTTTTCTTATCCACCAATGTTCCTGTTCCAAGAGGCATGAGACAATACCACCTCTTCACACCACCATCAAACCAGCACTCACGTCATCATGTCAGGCCAGCATGCTCACCTCCTTCTTCCTCATTTCTGTTCAGCTCTTTGCTATCAATGTCGGACTGCAATCAGACCAAAACACTGTTCCACCTTTCTCTGCATCTTATTGTCTCTCACTGTCTCTCTCTCTCTCTCTCTCTCTCTCTCTCTCTCCACTTCTTTAACATATTAATCTAAAAAGTCTAAGCCACTATACTACCAACATACCCTTCCTCATTTAATATATGATCCTTTTTTATTATTTTCAATTGCAACATAAAATATTTTGCCAAGTATTTTTATTTTAAAATAAACTAGTAGAATAATATTTTTTTTAAAAATTTGACTTCAATTTTTTTATTTAAAGGTGTTGATTTTTAATTTAAATTTAATTCTCATGGTCTTACTAGAGAAATTGAGTCAAAAGTTTACATCGGCAAAACCTAGTCAACATGGGCTTTACCTCTTCAAGGAGAGGTGCTTCCAGAAACAGACAAGAGCCCAGTTACAAGCCTTGACAAATACAACTCTAAATAAAACAAGAGTTAGTGTTCCAACATGTAATGCAAACTGAAACATTATGGCAGTTTTACAGCTCTCTCTACCACTTTTTTAATGTACATCCTAGCCGAACGAAAACTGTAAATCAACCATTAGGCCTACAGATTCATGCAATACCAGAACTCTAGCCATTGCAATGCTTTCCTATGGTGGGAATGAGATTTATGATTAAGGTGGTATACATGGACTATCTCAGAATGAGGTGGAACACCTTAACAGGTAATTGTTTCAAGTTCAGACTTCAGATCAGAAATAAATACATAGCTTCAAAAGTTTAACCATGCAAAAGCAAATTATAATGATGACAATAAATACTAAGCCACATAGAAGGCTCACCCAACACCCCAACATACTAGACTAAATTTAACATCATTTGAAGTTATGATAATGGAATATACATTCTCAATTTTATCATTTCTTGAACAATCACAGCAAGAAAAAGTACCGAGTCTATGGCAACACAAATGTGGGCTTTCTTCTCTCCAACTAGTCCTGCAGTTAAGTAAGTTTATACATTCACAGGTTAGAAAGCTTATCCTAAAAATGAATTGACACTTGTGGTGCGAAAGTGATCAGATCAGGTAAAAATATCATAGTCTTAGGACAGTTTGATAAGGGGGAAAACAGAATTTTACCTCCACCCAGTTCAATGATTACTGAAAACAACTTTTCCAAATCCTTCATAGCTTTATAAGAACTAGAAATAAGTGCCCCTTGGTAAGTAATATCCTTAATATTTCTAGATTTCCATATTTTATCCTTCCAACCAAGAGGATCTGTATAGCAATCCAAAATGCGAATGCTGCAAATATCATGTGATTTTAGGTGTCAGAGTATAGAGTGTAAAAATATAAATTTGCTTTACTATATGAAAGATAGCAACAAAGAAAGCATTGAAAGGCCCACACCATGCTTTGACATATTAAAATTAGATTAGAATGTTTAATAAATACTAACTTTCACCATTAGACCTCCATGTCTTCTTTGACTTGGTGGCTAACAAATTGTCAAAATACCACATATAAGGATGTCATTTCTTTAAAAGATTAGACATGTTTTTGAACATTTCATGTTATAAATAGGGGGGAGGATAAATTCATATATAAGTTGAAAATACTTACCATTTCTGAGAGGATTCAATGTCCACTCCTTTTGTCTTTAAAAAAGCAATATAAGATGATGGACTCCAGGAAACTGCAACAATAACTATACCTCTATATCAAAAAAGAATTACTTAAGAATTAGCTTTAAGATTTGTTTTTTTTTTTTTAATAAAAAGGAACTAAGAAAGGGATTCATGATCAATAATGAAAAAGTAAACTGACCGGGCCTGAGATTTTCCTCTTAAAATCTGAGATGAGAGTTGAACTAGGATGTAAGAGAATACATCAAAGGCAAAAGGAGAATCTAGAGAATCCTTAATTGTTAGAGCAGGTGCGTGTTCTCCCTCTAATGCACCATCCCGTAGCACTCTGCAAATTGATTCTGCCATCTCTGACGCAAGGTAGAGGATAACAATTGAGCCAATTGCAAAAGGGGAGCTGCAACCTCTACTCTATGCTGTCGAGTGAAAGACAGGAACCACGACTTAATGTCCATTTAGCAACTACAACATATTCAAGTCCAGCTGTGATATTAAAGTTTAATATAACCACAACAGCGTGGTTGTGACAGAATCACTCCTTAAATTTATTATTTGAAAAGGAAAAAAATGAAAGCAAGAGTGTAAGTCTAAGCTGAATTAGCTAAGTTTTCAGGACATCAAGGAAAATAAGCAAGTACACAGAAACTCCTATGCAATTCAAGAAGTAAAGACTCTCCCAACAAACTCAATGTCCTTGTTTCTCTCTCTTTATTCCTACACTGTAGCCATTGATTGCCCCCATAACTAATTAAGAGATCCATGTGCAACCATCATCTCAGCTCAGAGAGCAAGGGCTGCTTTGAGAGGCTGGTGTCTCAACTATAATAGCAAGGTGTTGTTATAGTAAAACAGTTTAATTAATACCTTGAGAATTTTCCAAAAGTGACAATATAAAAAGATTAATAAACAGAATGCCAATACACAACAAAACCAACATTGCAAAACAACACAATCCAAATCATACAATTTGCTAGTAATCAAAATGAAAGGGAAAAAGTATAAAGTCAATTACACACCACTCAAGCAAAAAAACTAGTAAAAAAATAACTCTATGTAAATACTCCCAAAAGCGTCAATATTCAAACGATTGCACGACCGTATTCAAAGTCAAATTAAAACGAAAAATTTAAATCAAAGCAAGAACCGCCGCGCAGGAGACATACGACAAGGGGATCAAATTCAAATCTAGATTCAAAGCCAAATTGAACAAATCAATCTCACCGGATTTTGGAAGTAGAAAAAGCCCTAGGGTTCCAACCTTCTTCACTGCTTGCCCGAGAACAACCACGCAGGGCAGACAACGGTGGACGGCGTCAAACAGAGTGTGGAATGCTAGTTCGTGGATGGAAGAGCAATGCATCCGCTACACCCGAGAGTGTGCTTTATCGCAGTTACAATTAATTTTAAAAAGAATTTGATATTGTTCGAAAATTAATAGCTCAAATAGCAAAATTAATTGCTTAATTCCACAACTGTTTCATATTAAATATTATTAAATTTTTATTTTTATTTTTTTCATTTTACTTTTTTTCATATCCGTTTCTCCAAAAAAAAAAAACATTTGAAGTGATTAAAAAGAACTTTAACATTTTATTATGTTGAATCCGATGAAAAAGAAGCAAAGTTGATGTGAAAAAAATAAGGAAAAATGACAATAAATTCCTATAAATTTTGGTATTTCAAAATGCCAGAATTTTATTAAAGTCTTCAAAGGCTTTTCTGTAATTAATGAATTTATATAAATTATTAAATTATTCTTGTAATAATATCAAAATTTGATATGCAAAATTATGATTTGCTATTACATTGTTGCGAATTTAAAAAGTAAAATTATAATTATTTAAACAAAACTTATGATCATTACTTGTTATTTCCAACACTAGTAGCAATATCAAGAATTTGATATGCGAACTTGTGATTTATTATTGCATTGTTGTAAATATAAGAAAGAAAATTATAATTATTTAAACAAAAATTATGATCATTACTTATTATTTCTAACACTTGTAATAATATTATAAATTTAATATGCGAACACAAGAAGAAAAGTTGTGATTATTTAAACAAAATTTGTGATTTTATTTTCAACAAGGGCAATTTGCTCATTTATATAAATTCATTAATGATAGAAAAGTCTTTAGAGACTTTAGTAAAATTATGGTATTTTCAAAAGCTAAATTGTCATTTGAATAATTTAAAGGAATTTTGTTGTCATTTTTTCAAAAAAAAAAATAAAGGTAACATATAATTTTATGAAACACCAAGTGTGTGTGTAAACTAATTATTCATTTTCAAACACAAAATGCTGTGCCTTTTCAAACAGTCACACATCCAAATCCCCAGATTAATCTAAATTAAAGTAGGTAGCAGTTAAACAAAGGTTTATCATATAGAATCTTCTTTTTTCTAGTATTATTTTTAATGTTGTTGAAGCAAGTATTTTCATGACAACAAAACCAAGAGAAATGCATTTATTACTCATACAAATTGAATATCATAAATCAAGTGACAAAGGAGAAAGAGGTGCAATGAAGAACTCTTAATGAAATTATCTCAAGCTTACTGCACACGAAAAAATAGAAGTGAGCATGAGGAAGAAGAAAATTAAAGGTGTAGAGGAAGAAGAATCAGAGAGAAAATAGAACTGTCATATTTTACATTTATTTTATTCTTCTATTAAATAAATTTGTGAAAAATTAATTAGAAGCTTAAACATAAATTGAAGCAAGATTTTATCATATATAAAGTCATAGGCTCATAAGTTCTAAAGGTAAAATAGTCTTATTTACACAAGGACAAGAAATGTTCACATGTATTTAACACATGTTTGCATGCACTTATGATTCACATTGTTTCATTCACACTTGGATTGTAAGTGTCCCATGCGTGTTTGATTATCTTTTGTGCATATAGGACTTTGAGAATCGCATTCAAACTTGAACTATAAATAGACCTTGCTTGAATTAGAGAATTAGAAGTGAAGACATGGCATTGTATGTTGGTTCACGCTTGGACATCTTAGTGTCCATGCTTGATTGACAAGTTAGTGTGAAGAAAATGTTTTGGTTGAGCTTGTGTAATCTGATTCACTCTTGGATGTTATTTTTAGCTATGCTTGATTGATCCTAAGAATTAGCTTGAAGTGCGTCTAAGAAGCAATTCACAATTGGACTTTGTTTAGTCCATGCTTGAATGGATGAAACACTTGTTAACTTTTAAGTTTGACTTAGTACTGAACAATATATTCAAGCTTGGTTTAAAAGTTTCCCAAGCATGTTTTATATCACAGAGAGGCAAGGTTCCTCTATACACTCATGCACACTTGGTACACAAATTACCCACATGTGTTTAGGCTTATAGAGTGGCTAGGTGCTTCAACCTCATCATACATGCTTGAACCTTAACTGGTCCACACTTGCATCAATGTGATGTGATAAGTAAACTCAAGTGAAGCTCATCCACGGTTGGATCATTCTTGTCCATGCATGAATGACAATTCTAACAACATTTAATACACTTTTGTGGGAAAAGTGCTTTATCTATCATTAATCACTTTAGCACATCTCAAACTGCTATAATTTGTCTCCCAAGGGTTCTAATGGTTCGAAAAACATTGTTCTATACATAAGACCTCATTTGAGTTAGTTGATAATGCTTAGACAAATTGATCACAAATAATTTGCATCAAACCTTTATTTTTCACTATGTTCATGTAAAAAGCTCTCAAGCTAATTCTTAGGGTCATATTGTCATATCCACTCTTTGAGAGAGTTTTTGAGTGTGCCTAATATTTTTCTTAGTTATCTCTTTGACAAAGAACTTGATAGGAAGACACAATCTCTATTATTAGAGAGATTCACGAAAGGATTTCCTTAGTATATTAAGAAATTTTTTCTTAGTACATTAAGAGAGTGCTTACTATCTTGAAGTGAGGAATTAAGAAGACTTACTAGTTTAGTGAAAGACCTTGTAAATGGCTCACAAGTGCTTGTGAAAGCTTGTAGAATGTGTTGAGGCAGCAAGCACCCATTGAAGTTTTGTGTTATAGTGGAAAATCTCAAGTGTGAGCTTGGGAACTAGATGTAAGTCAAGTGGTCAGTTGAACCAAGATAAATCAACTATGTAGTATTTCTATCTTTACTCTCATTAAATTAAGCTTATTATTGTAATATCCTCCTTCTTCTACTCCCATAACTAAAATCAAATCCTAAGTAAGTAGGGAATGGGTTTATAGTAATTATCAAAATACAAAGTTTTTAATGGTTAGTAAAATGGGAATCCCAAGTTTACAAAACTAAATTCATTTTCAAATCTTGCAATTGGACAAATCAGCATTTACAAATATGTGAAAGCATAGGATTATTTCATAAGTGAGTGCATTTGTTTAAGAATTTGAAATAAGGGAATTTTTGAAAAATTTTGAGACGTGCGCCACATTGTGTTTGCTTTGTGACATGCGCCGAGGCTCATGGCACCATGCACTGCGGCCCAATTGTACGAATTTTGGCAGTAAATTTTGCTATCAATTTGATAACATTGAGGCCAACTTTCGACGGGCCCCAAATCTCCGTCCAATGTCTGAATGACACAAACTAGGTGTCTATAGAAAGCTCCTTCCAGGCTTTAACTAATGGCATTGGTCTCAGGTACAACTTCTTTCTAGAACAAAAATTGGATACACTTTTTAAAACTTACACTTCTACAACAATTTTCACAAAAATCATGTGTCCAAACCAAATGCCAAAGGCCAATAGCCACCAACACCAATTGACCCGATACCATCAAGATAACAATACACCATATCACATGAAATACTCCCAGATCAGTTTTTCACTACTCAACTATAACATCCCAAAAATTGTGACTTGGATTTATTTTAAAAAAAATAAAATATCTATAATTAAATTAAAATTTAGAATAATTTAATAGAGGTCCAGAGTTTGAATTTTACTAAGCAAAAGTTGGGTTTTATTTTATTTTTAACTATGGAAAAATTTACCAAAGTGACCCAGGCTTTTGTATTATAATAAAAAATATTGGGCCCTTTATTGTAATTTTTCCCAAAGTCTAATATTAGCAATTTAAAGAGCAAACGAACGCAGAAAATGAAAAGAAAGAAAGAAAGAAATGCATAAATGAATGGGAGAGAGGAAAAATAGAAGAGAAAGAGAGAGAGTTAGGCTTGAATCTAGGAGTCTTTGCGACTGTTGCAAGCTCGGCTACACAATAAATAAACTCCCTACTTCAATCCTCTTCCCTTCCTCTTGATTTTCTTCAATTTTTGAAAGAGAGAATTTCTGAATTTTGATCCCAAAAGCTTTATTCTTGTAAGCTTTTATTTCTTTGGATCTTAGGGAGGATATTTTGAGTTTTTATATGGTATTCTAATGTTTTGAGTGGATAATTGGATGAAAAGAGGTGTTTTGGGCACAAATCGAACCCCAAGAGGTTGGGTTTTGCTCTTCAATGATTTAAGTCTATTGATTTAGTTATAATTTTTTCATTTGAGCTCAATAAGATTTAAATTAAGATTTGGTTTTCATTATAAGGGCTAATGGTGAAAGTTGGTGACACTAAGTGAAGGTTTTTAATTGATTAAAAATTATATAAATTGCAAATTAGCCTAGTGATGGCTAATAAATGATTTTGATGGTAACCATTAGGATGGATTATGACTCATTGACCCAAGTTGTGTGGTATGAGTTATAGTCTTCATTAATGCTATTTGTCATGATAAGTGATGTGGATCACTTATATGTTGTAGGGATTGTTAGTGGAATTTGTTTGGAAGTTAAGGAACAAGCCGAGTCCTATTTTGTACAAGAGGAACCCTTTTAGTACCAAAAGGTTGAGGTAACAGGGGAATTTATATTTTTTATTACTTTGTTTTAACTATTTTTGAATAAATATTACTAACTATCATGCATTACATGTTTTAAAAGATTAAATGTGCTTTATAAGGGGTTATAGGGTACTACTTTGATTATAGTGCAAATATGTTTTCTAATTGTTTAACAATAATGTTTTCATGGAAACGAGATTTGTTTACATGTATTGTAATCATAAGGAATAGAAGTTGCACTTAAAGAAGTGTAACTAAGTAAGGTATCTTAGATAGGCTAAGGAACCGTTTAAAGGATATTTATAAATGTTATACTACTTTAGAGTGTTGAAGTGGTCAATACTCAAGAAAGGTAGACACGAATAAAAGGCATGATCTCGGTGGAAGTTCACCAATAAAAAGGTGTGAACTTTTGATATTCTATGGTACACTGTCAGTACTCAGTGTTGCCTTACGTATTGTGGGCTCAGTGCACTAAGTGTTCGACATCTCTCAGTGAGGTAACAAGGGAATTTATATTTTTTATTACTTTGTTT